GTAAAGATAAATAGAGTAATTGATGAATTTTTCGACCATCGTTTATTTACACATTGTGTACCTAAGTAAACTTATAAAATAAAATTTTTTCATGCAGCCCTGTTTACTTCATCCAGGTGTCCTAAAGCATGCGTCATAGGCCTGATTTACTCTAGTTGATATGCACATATTGGTTGAACCTAGGTTATAATAATATTAATAAATGCATAAATTCGCTATTAAATAATAGGATAAATTTTATCTTAAATTCCGATATTAGTGTCTTGGACTATTAAGAGACTAAACTGTATCCTTTATATAATTAAAAAAAGTTGGATAATATCGTCACGGGTACCTTTTCGCATACTTGAGATGTTTTCAGATTATTCTATCAAATCAGGATCCTTCTTGATTTCCTCTCTATTCATATATGCTTCCGCTTCAAAGCTTCCCACAATCATATTTTATTAATATAATTCTTATATTGTTAAAATAATCTCATGGACATCTAAGACCATGCACCTTTAGATCTCAAACAAATACTCTGTACGACTCTTCATTTTCTAAATATTTTATCCACTAATTCTATCCTCCTGCGGCAATAAATAGTGCCTCTAGAAGAGGGCTTCGCTCCTCAACCAATTATTACCAACCAGACTCGCTTTCAGTTGAGGCTAGCAGCAGATCGTCCTAGTGACCGTCTGCCGGTCTTCTTTTTTCCCACCGCTACTGGCACCGATGAGAGAAAACTGCCTTCTTCTTCGTCTTCTGGCGAGGACCGACGGTTACATTCGTTGTCCACCCCCTTCTCGCCGACACCTCCTACTTCTATATCGATGGATGTACAGCTGACGAACTTCGAGGTTTCGGCTTCAGAGAAATCTACGGGCGACCGTTTAAATAATTCACAAGTCTCTTGGATTTACTCTTCTGATCTGGCTGCCAGCCTGATGTTAAGTAATACTCGTGTAGAGGACTCTGGAATTTACAAGTGCTTAGCAACCAATTCTTTTGGGCAGGAGACGTACGAGATACGCTTGGATGTGCTATGTAAGCCTGCTTTTGTCTACGTCAACTTGTGTATATCCTTCTCTCCTTGCTAACTTCTTCAAACCAAAATCCTTAATTTTTCTTGGCTTTTTTAATCAACAAGTTTTCCCTGCTGTTCATATTTTCAAATTATAGACGCTAGGCCTTAATTTTAACAAATATTTATTATAAACATGACTGGATATAGTGTAGAAATTTATACTTATTATTTTCTATCATTGTTAGCATACTTCTATTCTTATAAATTCTTATTCTTATTATATTCTGGATCGACATTTCAATTAATGTTTTTGAAAAAAAACAATATAATTATGAAAATTAATATATAAGGGCTTTAGTTTGCGACCATGTTGCGAAAAGGAGGTCAAATTAAAAACACAATATATATATATATAATAATAAACTGCTTGGTCTACCTATTCATTATCACTGCATATTTCTTCATAAGCTAAATGTTATTCTGAGTAGATTTCAGTTTCGTCGATGCTATTAAAAGCTCTAGAGGGATTTGAATTATATGTGCTGGTCTATAGCCAAAAAGGTAGCTTTTAACCTACATGCTTCAACCAAATTATCATCAACATTTATTAGTAATGTATTTAATTATATATTTTCACACCCTTTATTTGTTCTGGAAAGGCGGTTAAAATGGAGACATCTATTTGCCTGAACTTTCATCGAAGAAGGATCACATTATTATTATGACTATGGATTTAAACAAAGAAGTCCTCTGACATATCGTCCCTCGATTCAGATTTTGTCTGCAAATCCAAATTAGCAATATTAAAACGATTCTCTTTTAAATTCTGCAAAGGCTAATTTAATAAACTCATCCACCCTCCATTTTAAATAAAATTAGAGGCAGAAAAGCATGAATTTTTGAGTCACTTTTCGAAACCCAGCTTCTCTTCATATGCTTATCATGTCTGCCTAGTTAACTAAGCGCAAATCTTGTTACGATGAATAGGGGAGAATGTTTCCGTTTTTTAATCAGTCCCATGATAATTTGCATCTAAAAGGGCTGTTGTTCCCCTGGATAGTCCGCGGTTTTAGCCTTGTCGCGGTCTCATCAGCGTGATTCAAACCATAAACCTACCTACTAAGACATAAACATGTTGTGCCCATAGTTGTGGAGGTTGATAAGGCGTAAACTAGACTTAAACTACAAACCATTCTGGATGAGAACGGCCTCTTGAGCTGTATGATGAAGTAGAACATATTGCAAAATTTAAATACCCTCTTCAATTACTCTTAAAAATACTCGCTTTCATTCCGATGAATAGCAAGTCCCAAAGAACGAGGGCCTATTTATTTTACTAGCTTTAGTAAACTGTGTATGAAGGAAAAAGATTTTTTTTATACTTTCAAAGACTATGAAGCGTTTTTTTGAGTTTGATTTGTTTTTCGCTTATTCGAAAGGTGATCATTGCTATGGCCAGATTGAGATCAATCTTAAAATATATTAACTATTTTTACATTGGTTACTCAGACTTGAGACTAGCATTTCTTCATTTGAAATTATTCAAATAATCTTATTATATGCAGTTGTAATATTCTTTTTTAAATGTTATCACTCTCTACAATTTGTCCTTTCCTTACTATCAGAAGGATAGTCCATCTGCTGATGCTTCCAAATCCAAATCTTTAAAAATGGATCATTTAATTTTATTCCACTATTCATTTCATGGAATATTTTGCTTGAACTAAACCATATATTGACCGCCCTAGAAACCGAAGATGGGTTCTGCGAAGAAGATTCAGCTAGTTCTCCTACATCGATGAATATGCCTTCAGCTTTCGTCTGTCACGTGGGAGACATCGTCAAAACGGGAAGGACTACTTGTTGAAAAAGCTTACCATTATACTAGTCAACGAGAAAAGATGGCCGGCTACGAACATATTCAATTATTTTACCAAATTTTGCGATAAAAATGATTTGATTGCCGGTTTTTTGCGTTACCCACATGACTTGCAGATAAGTGAAGTCTATTAGGAAAGAGGATGTGGATGTGGGCACAGTTGTTACCTGACAAAAATAGCCTAACCTTTGATCCTACACTGTTGACTCAAGTTTAAGCATATGCTTGTAAATGTATTGTGTGTATACAATATTCATTTATGTGAGATGTGAGAACCTCAACCTGACTCAAGGCTCTCAAGGCATAGCTGTTCTTTCTTATCCCCTTCCTTCTCTTTTTCTCTTCCTCAACTTATCCACCAGCTACAAATAGTTCCCGCTCATTTTCATACACTCATGCATTCTGTTCAGGATGTTGGTTGTCTCGTTAAGGTTATCACGCCTCACGGGAGTGAACACTACATACACACAATACATGTAAAAGTATATGCCTAAACTTGTGTCAATAATTTAGGATCAAGCGCTAGGTTATTTATATCATGAAGCAACTGTGATCATAACCACTTCCTCTTCCTGCATCGGCTCCATGTAAGTAATGCTGGCTCTGCATGAAATTGCCAAACGCGACATTACTATCGCAGAATTTGTTATGAGAATTTAACATATTTGTACCTGGCCCTCTTCTCATGGCCTATTGTTGCGTTTTTTGTTAAGTATAACTTCTCACCCTGACGATGTCTGTCACATAACAGACGGAAGCTCAGCACTGGGGTTGCGGGACGATAAGCCGAATTTTCTTCAGACATTTCATTGTTCTTCATTCCACGAAGGCCAATTTATTAGCTTTTTTGATTTATTTCAATTCGAGATTAAAAGTCAATTCACTCCACATAATGAAAGGATCCTTTGAAAACAAGAGTTTCTTTATTTAGGCAGTGTTCCACCGTGCCACCCTGCCTACTAACGTGCAATCAGAAGAGTTTATGATTGTGCCGTCCTGAGCAAGAGACTCGAAATTGTGGTCAGAGTAAAACTCAACCTTGTACCTTTCAGCATTGGCACTATGCGAAGTCACAAGGCGGAATTCCTGTCCTAACGAAAAATTTTAATAACATAGATAGATGAACCAAAGCATGCGACTGTTGTATGCTATGTAGAATGTGATGGCTAGACTTCTTTTATCGCCCTTTTTCGTCTTCTTGTCTTTAATCTTTTACTTCTTAATTTAGTCAATTGAAATAACGCAATTGTGTTGACCAGTTCCCGAACTATTTTGCTTTCGTTGACCTTACTTCCTGTTCAAATGAAATTGTTGGGTGAAGAGATTCGAAGGTCGATTCCACCAGAAGACGACGGCGGATTCCTCTTGAACAGCTGTCGATTGGCTTTACTGGAA